GAAGCCTACATCGCTGTTCCAAAAGTTTCTGGAATTCCAACCTTGGCTCAACAGCAATGTCTAATGTCCAACATCGCTGTTGGAGGACTTAACGCCAAACCATGTTTTAAGCTACCCAGGCCAGACAGCGCTGTTGATTAGCTCAACATCGCTGTTGGGCTGGTTTAGCCAGACCCATGGTTGGTTTAGTCACGCCGTTAGCCGATGTCAAAAACGCAAGTTCTCCAAAATAAAAACCAAGTTTAGAAAACATTTTCTTATTGAATTTTGCTAACAAATCAAGTGAAACATCTTAAAAAACACGTCATTTAGTTGAAAACCACGGCTAGCCAAGTTCGCGCCGTTTCACATGGTTTTCAATAAACGACCAAAAACGGAAGATGGTTTTTGAGGCGTTTTTGTTGGAGAACTATTTAAATGTGCCTAGTAGTAAAAACCAGTCATAAAAAGTTGAAAACCACTTGGTTGGTTCGGACGCCAAAAACCAATGTCAAAAACCGAGAGCCGAACGCCGGTTTCTGAAAACCGAATGCCGGATGGCTTGGTTTTTGGTCTGGGCGAACTCCAAGTGTTTTTGGGTAGATTAAAACTTATGAAAAACATTTTTGAGTTTGTAAAAAGAGTTTTGATGAAATGAGCCTAGAGAGCCAAGTTTTGAAAGTTTGTGCCGGTCTTGATCACATTAAGACCGACTCAATACAAATCTAATTCTTCGTTCTTGATTCTGGATTCTTGGTTCTCAAACCATCATTGCATGTTCCTTCGCCTTGTTTCTTGTTCTCTTTAGCCTTGTTATGTCACGGCGGTTTGGCATTATCAAAACTTGTCATGGAAACGAACACAGTTTAGTACGACGTAGGCGTAAACTTGTGTTCCAACAATTTCCCCCTTTTTGATAATGGAAAACAAGACAGGGATATGCATACTAGGGATATTTGTTTTTCAAAAGGGTTGTGAAAAAAAAATTCCCCCTTAGTTTGTGCTTGAAAAAAATTTAGTTGGATTAAAATCAAACGGTCTCGTTTATAGAGGTGTTCCCCCTTAGTATATGCATAGCCCTTTTCTTCCCCCTTTTGACATTAACAAAAAGATAAAAGATAATTTTATTTATTAAAGGAAATAGCGTAGTACAACGGAAGCATTAAAAAAGAAGATAATTAAGGTAAAAGAGATAGAAATTCTAGGGGCGGCCTAGTCTTCGTCTTCGGTTTCCTCCTCCTCGTCGTCGACGTCCATCTCATCACCGTCAACGGCGTCGCCGAACTCGTCCTCGTCCGAGGAGCTTGACGGGGCGTAGGAGCCATCCTCTTCGTCCTCGTCACCGTACACTTGCCCAAAGAACGTGCCATGGTACGGTGGGGGGACGTAGTTAACGCGTTAGAAGTATGCGTTCATGGCGTGCCCTTGGTGTTAAACAGCCTCGTCGAGCCGCTCAAGGTAGCCATCCATCCCGTCAACTTTGAAGTGAAGCCGGTTGAGGGAGTCGGCGATGGAGGCAAGGTTGGCCAGGGCTTGGGCTTCGGCTGGGCCAGCAGCAGAACGGCGTCGTTGCACGGCAGTGGCAGGTCCGGCGTTGTCCGACCGCTTCTTGAAGGTTCGTGGCCTTTGTGAGTGGGCCAACGGTGGTGGTCACCTTGAACCGTTCAAGGATGTCCATCACCACGAACGGGTACGGGAGGAGGTGGTCGTGGTCGGTGGACGCGGCAATCGTCATGTTGATCATGGCAAACTTTGCCCAATTGATTGGGGCCGAGTGCATGATTGCATGGATGAGCTTGAGATCTTCACCGGACATGATGGTGTGGCCGTGCATCCTGGGTTTGATGATCCGGGAGACGATGTGGAGATGAAGACGGCCATCAGGGTTAGCGGAGTGGATGGTGGGGCGGCCCGAGGCATGGCGGATGAGCTCGGTGATGCCAAGCTCGTTGAGGATAAGGCCCTCGTTGTTGAGGAAACGGGTGCGCTCCTCCTCGGAATCAAACCAAAGGTATGACCCGTCGCCATAGTAGAGGCGCTCCTCGGAGGATGATGTAGGCACCCGGGATTTGGACTTTGATTTCCCAGAAGTGCCTGCTCTGCTCTTGTCTTTGCCCATAGTGAAGAAATCTCAAAAAAAAATTAGAGTAGAGAGGATGAAATATGTGAAGATATTGAAGGAATATGTGTTTGTGTGTGTAAAAGTGAGGAGAGGGGGTCCCAATTTATAGAAAAGGTGGTCTCCAACGTCCAGATTTTCAAAAATATGGCTGTTGGAGAAATTAATGCTGCTGCCAATGGATATTTTTTTTGAAAAATTTGACCTGAACAGCTATGTTCTATAGGCGACATCGCTGTTGAGACAGCGCTGGTAGAATGCTGAACAGCGCTGTTGTGCGTTAAGTTTTTTTAAAAAATAAGTGTCAAAGGGACAACGATATTGAATCCCCTACAGCGATGTTCCAAAAGTTTCTGGAATTGAATAAGGGTTTGAACCCATTAGAACAGCGTTGTTGGGTTTCTCTACATCGCTGTTTTGCGATAGAGGAAAAAAATTTGTAAAAGTGGACATTGATGTTGAAGGTAAGACATCGCTGTTAAAAAGTTTCTGGTTTTGGTTGGAAACAAGGTGTTTTGGGTAGACAGCGATGTTTAGAAGGGAACATCGATGTTCAAAAAGTTTCTAGAAAGTGAAGATTTAAGGGACTCCCTGGGACAGCGCTGTTGGTTTGTCGTACAACGCTGTTGGAAACCTTTCTGGATGACGGTGTTTCTCTCAACAGCGCTGTTGTGCCTCCTAGACAGCGCTGTTTGCATGGTTCCCCCTGACTTCATGGACGGGGTACCTGCAAAAAAGAAAAAGTTCTCCGACGCTCAAGTTAGTAAACGTTTAATAAATTTAGATACACAACTTAGATCATCGTGGAGTCAAGGATTCCGAGTTCACTTCGAATGTGGAAGAACGACTCTTTCTCTAAAGGTTTTGTGAAAATGTCGGCTAATTGGTTGTGTGTTTCAACAAACTCAATTTCGACATCACCTTTGAGAACATGATCTCTAATGAAATGATGCCTAATGTCAATGTGTTTCGTCCTTGAGTGAAGAACGGGGTTCTTCGTCAAGCTTATGGCGCTAGTATTATCACAACGGATAGGAACGTGATTGATACTAAGGCCATAGTCCACGAGTTGTTGCTTCATCCAAAGAATTTGAGCACAACAACTACCGGCGGCTACATACTCCGCTTCGGTTGTAGATAACGCAACACTGACTTGTTTCTTACTAAACCATGAGACTAGGGAGCTACCAAGTAAGTGGCAAGTCCCACTCGTACTTTTATGGTCTAATTTGCAACCGGCAAAGTCCGAGTCGGAATAACCAACGAGATGACAAGAAGAGCCTTTTGGATACCACAGTCCAACGTTAACCGTGCCGACAAGGTATTTCATGATCCGTTTCACCGCGGTTAAGTGCGATTCCTTTGGACACGATTGATACCTCGCGCAAAAGCATACGCTAAACATGATATCCGGCCTACTAGCAGTAAGATAAAGAAGGGATCCGATTATACCTTGATACTTTTTGACTTTTACTTCCTTACCTTTTTCGTCTTTGTCAAGATGATCAGACGTGCTCATCGGGGTCGCCATGGCTTTGGCGCTGTCCATTTCAAACTGTTTTAGGAGCTCCTTGCAGTATTTAGTTTGACAAATGAACGTGCCATCTTTTATTTGCTTAACTTGGAGTCCCAAAAAGAATGTGAGCTCGCCCATCATTGACATTTCAAATTCGTTAGTCATTAGCGTTGAGAATTCATTGCACAAAGACTCGTTAGTAGCACCGAATATAATGTCGTCTACATAAACTTGAACCAAAAGGATGTTATTGTTTTTACTCTTGATGAAAAGTGTGGTGTCTACCTTTCCCCTTTGGAAACCACTATCCAAAAGAAATTTACTCAAGCGTTCGTACCAAGCACGTGGTGCTTGTTTAAGACCGTAGAGCGCTTTCTTGAGTTTGAAGACATGATCGGGAAACTCAAAGTCCTCAAACCCCGGGGGATGGTCAACATACACTTCCTCTTGAATAAAACCATTGAGGAAGGCACTCTTAACATCCATTTGATAAAGTTTAAAATCCATAGACGAAGCAAAAGCAAGTAGTAAGCGAATAGCTTCTAAACGTGCTACAGGTGCATACGTTTCTTCAAAATCAATGCCTTCTTCTTGATTGTAGCCTTTAGCTACGAGCCTAGCTTTGTTTCTAGTGATTATTCCATTTTCATCAAGTTTGTTACGGAACACCCATTTCGTACCAATAATCGTGCGATCATCAGGCCTTGGCACCAATTCCCAAACGTCATTTCGTTTGAATTGGTTTAGCTCCTCTTGCATAGCCAAGGTCCAATGTTCATCGTTTATTGCTTCGGAAATGGTTGTAGGTTCAATTTGAGATACAAAAGCCATGTGTCCTACGGTGTCCCTAAGAGAGTTACGAGTACTTACCCCGCGGTTGATGCTGCCGATTACCTGATCAAGTGGATGGTTTCTGTGCGTTC